TTTCAAACTAGCTGCTACAAAGTTACAAAGAGGACAAATAAAAAAAGACTACTGTGAGTTTGGCTTTGTCTATTTCTTGAAAATACCTTCTTACACAGAGCGGAGTGGACTATGGGGCTTCAACAAAAAAAAAAGTCTGGCTGAAATGTTAACTGAAAAATGTGTTCTTCAAATACAAAACTGTGCATAGGAATATGAACATGGTCAAGGAGTAGTGTTACCTCAAAGTTCCAAGCACATGCAGCATATTAACCCACTTAACCATTCAGAAGCCAGGGCTGACGATTAAGTATTATGTTGCCATGTAACTATGGAAGAGTTTCTGCTTTGCAAATCAAACCTGTCCAAAAATACATGAACAACTATTCTACAAATGTCTTTGACAGATTTAAAATAAAAACTTGAAAGCCGATTGTAAAATATTAAACGTAAACATGACAGGGGTTTTTCTTTACCCGCTGTTGTCCCTCCCGTCCACGCAGCGGCGACAGCTCCTCGCGTCTCTTTTGCAGTCGACAGTAATAGAACCCAGGAAGAACAACGTGTGTCACGTTAGCATAAACAGCTAGCTCAGACGTGTGTGTGTGTGTGTGTGTTACAAGGTCCGAGCTTGTGCAACCGTATCATCCCACCGAGGCAAACTCCTCCAGGAGACACTCTCTCCAGCGAACGGGACACTTTAGGTACGTGATCAGCCAGACGGAAGCGAAAGACGCCGGTTAGCAACGCAGCTAACGTTCGCATCTGGCAACGTCAGTGAACGTTGTCCTGCAAAGCAGACGAGAACATGTCGACCTGGCTAATGCTAGGAACGGGGAGCTAATTGTCTTGATCTGATGCTAACGTTAGCAGCCAGCGCATAAAGTGACATGACAGCGAGTAACACGCGTGTAGGGACTCGTCCTGCGTGTTGTCGGTTCAGGTTAGCAACGTTAGCTTCCCCTCCCCAGGTAAACTAATGTCAACGAGCCTTCCGGACACGAGCACAGCTGACCGATGTGTTCTGGGCTTTTCCAAATGTCGGACATGGATCTACGCATCATGACACAGTGTGCTGCTCCTCCATGTGTCCGTGGCAGTCGTCTGGTTGTACTGTCATGTCACCGGCCTGCTACATTCAGACATTCAGGACATGTGCATTATAAACCAGCTGGACTCTTCAGCAGTCTGGGCTTTGTTTCCTGTCTCTCTTTTGTTGTGTCAACCACAAGAAAAGGAAAGTCAGACAAACAGTGATGTGTAATCATCTACACGAGCATTTGCATTTTGCTCCCAAAACAAGGATCTTGTGGTTTTTCTTATTTTCTATCATAAATTGAAGATTGAAGTTAAATTGTGATGTAAAAATCATCGTGCCTGTTTTGGTAATATACCAGAAGAAGTTAACCTTTCATGTGTTCTTTTTTTCATGTGTCTTATCCTGAAGGTCAACTCCCATCTGATACAGTGACGCTGTAGCACCACTGCCAGTTCTGTGACCCAAGAAAATAATGTGCAGCAGCTGAAGATGGGCGGCAGCGGCTCCAAATCCAAAGGATTTTGGCCTTTTTCTGGCTCAGTTAGCGTGGATGACCCAACCAAAGATGGAAATGAGCAGTCCCTGGCCAGAGTTCGAAGTTTCCGAGGCGGAACACCTTTTGTGTTTACTAGACGGAGGTAAATAACAGCCTCAGGATCATGTGATCTCCATCGAATATAATAACGGTTATAGCGTACCGATGAAATGTGATGTTCTCATTATCACGATGCCTCACAAGATAGAAGCTCATATTGACATTTCTATAAGGTGAAAACAGTATTCAGTTACTAATTTGGAGTTTTATCATTTTGAGATCAGTTTTAAGCTTCCTGTCCACTTCGCGCCCAAAATCTTCCAGAGAAACAAGTTAAATCTTGATGAGGTAGTATTGTTTGGTTCCTGCAGATGTGGTTTTGCAGTAGTGGTCATAGCTCTCATCTTATACGCCTCTGTTATCCAATGGTTATTTCCTAATTCATAGTTGACCTATTAGCTTACCGTGCACTCTGACCTTTCAAAAATGTCAGAGTGCACTTTACCCACAAGGAAACAGCTGACAGTCCAACAGAGGTGAGGCTTCAGCAAACTAAGCAACTGGTGTTTGTTTTTCCTTTGCTCACAGGTTTGTGGGCTTGAAATCCAAACACCAGATTTTATTTGTGTTGCGGTTCTAAAATGATTTGGCCTCGTTGTATTGTCAAGCCATGAGTGTACAAAGTTTTGAGTTCACTCAGGCACATTATTTATATGTAGGTTTTCTTCTCTGCTGCAGCTCTTTGTTCTTTGATGAAGACGGTGACTTGGCCCACGAGTTCTATGAAGAAACAATTGTGACAAAAAATGGACGTAAAAGGGCCAAACTGAAAAGAATTCAAAAAAATCTAACACCTCAGGTAAGGGAATTAGGAATCTAAACTAGGACATTGTTCACCAGCACCAGTTCTTTGTATTTTTAGCTCAAATAATTTTAATCTCTCTTGTTTTGTTTCAGGGAATTATAAAGCTGGACCACCCATGCATCCATGTAGATTTCCCAGTTGTTCTCTGTGAAGCATGACAATGTCTGAGGATTGTCTCAGACGAGCCACTGTGTCAACTCCGTCCCGTGGTTTTCCCTTCAGCTGGAAGCCTGAACCACCTTTTTAAAAAACACATGATCTCTTGATATATTTGATGCTCTTATGTGGACAGGCAGATGCAATGTTGCTGAGCCTCTGCATGTGATCTTTTGGCTTGTGTTCAGACACAGAATAGGTCACCGGTGGGGACGTTGAAGGTAGCCAAGTTGGCAAAACCTACTCAGTTTACAGATCATGGTTTGTGTGCATGTATGTATGTGTGAATGTGTGTGCAGACACAGGATGAAGTGTGACAGACCTGGAGTTGTTGCTGCCGATAGTTTTCTTGTATGATTCACTGAACTCTAGGATTTCAACGAGAATATAACCAGTTCTTTCTCCTGTCACAGTATATATAGACCAGGAACTTTTAGCTGCACACTTTAGTTTATCGACACCCTCATGATTCGCTTTATCATGCATGGAACAGGATCAGCTTTTCAGTAACATCTGAGGGAGTTGACAATCAGCTGCCCACGAAATCTGGAGTGGATTAACGTCATGGATGGACTGGCTTCAGTTACCTCCGAGCCTCACATGTACACAGCAGCAGTTTAATAAGAGATCCTGTTGTTTTCTTTGCTGTTTTGGCGTATTATGTTTCACTTTTAATTTATTATAACTTTTTTAATTACAATTTAAAATGCTGAACTGTGTCGTCCTTTTATTTTTTATATCCATTCATTTTCACTGAACAGCAGTAGAGTGCATTTAGTTTGCAAATCATCAAGATCAAGGGGGGGTGAAAATCTAAGGATGTACTTTACATACTAATGGCCTATAATGACTTTATTTTTACCGCTGCAGATTATATTTACTACACACGTCCGGCTGGAAATGCCTGTGGGCACAAAGGTCGTGGGAAAATTTCAAGAGAATTCAAGCATTATAAGCAACCAGCAGAGCGTTCACATACCACAACTGAAAAAAGTACAAATTTAATTGGCAGATTTCAGCAAAAATATAGACGTGTTTGACAAAATTTCCAAGGTCTCTTCCACCATAAACATTAATACCAGTCATCATTTGACTAAAGATCCTTCCTTGTATCGAAGGATTTAGAAGTGAAAGATAAAGAAACTAGTACGTTCCTTTTAGACGCCTGGAGACCACTATACCTACTATAATTCCTGTCAATGAG